GAAGGCTTTTGCATGGCCTGCTCAGACAATTAAAAGTGTGAAGAGCTTCCACGATTCATCTTTGGAGCGCCCACCATCAGGCCCCATTGATGTTACCTTGGGAGCACCATCAAAATATCACGGAACTCCCTCCCAAAAAACAGTCGTCTTGTCTAAACAGGGGTTTGCCCCCCCCCTGACTCGTACAGTCCTCCTCATAAATCCAGAAAGATGACAGTATCCTAATCCAGTCGGCTAAAGACACTTGGATACTTTCCTTGGGGATAGGTGGCTGCAAGTCGTAATGGGAAACACCCTCACAAGTTCTTGGACATGAATCCAAGTAAAACGATTCCCACCAGAGGGTTGCCAATTGAAACCCATGCGCGAGTGAGTGCGCCCTCCATGAATGCCCAATGCTTGGTTTAAATCTGAGGATTGACTTGAACGGGTACGTAGGTGAACTTCAGGCAAGCCTTCTTTGGTGGCTTGCATTGGTTGTGGATTCGTGTTTTCCCCAAGGTCCAAACCACGCCAGTTTCCCAAATGCGCCGAACAGCGCACGCAGGCAGCGGGTGGAAGCAGCCGGTGGCTCGGTGATGCGCCTGGACGGTGACATCCCGCAGAGGCTCTTCCTAAAGGACAAGTTGTATCCAGGCGGGCAAACCTGGAACCTGCACAAACATGGCGTCGGCCCAGAACATGGACATTGTCTTCCAACGTGTTGGAGTCTTGGGAGGGCACCCACCAATGTGCACCCCGGACAAGAAGGTTTAACACAAGCTGGGTGGATCGCGAAGGGTGTTTCCACCCAACTTTGAAGGATTCAAATAAAGGGAAACCCCCCACTGTTAGTTAGTCAAGGTGCTGATTCATCCTGGGTTTCCTGTAGCATGCGTTTTCACCATGTTTCACTATAAGTTTCCAGGACCCCCACAGTCAGGTTCTATGTTAGTTGGCGGGAGGGTACTGGGAAACCTTGTTCAACCTCTGGTTGAGTTCAACAGGGGGTGAGGAAGGGGAGAAAATAACTTACTCCGAATAGGCGGTTGGACAAGTCAAACAATTTTGCATGGCCTCCTGCTCTGAATTGCTAATCGGCCGCTGTGTAGCTTTAGGGTGTTTGGGTGGGCCATGGTGGGCCTCCCGTCTATGACTCCCACTAAGTTGATAAATAACATGAGTCCTTCTGAAACTCGTTTGTGCAGGCTGACAAGAAGGGAGAACCCCATAGGACAAACAGTGGGGATGAAGCTGGAAGCCCCACTTCGTGATCCAAGAAACTGTTTGCCCCGGCAAAGTTTTGTAGAACCAATCCCATTGGGAACGTGCCTCTTGCGATATGGGAAAGAGCCCACAACTTAATTCCCAAAAGGAAGCTACAAGAATGCGATCATGTGTTGTCATTGTTTCCAGGCTCGTTACCACCCATTGAAAGCCGCGTTCTCCAAAGGGCTCAGAATGTCCCAGGCCTCATCAACTCCAGATGCCTGGGCGACGTGGTGGGCTCTGAGTGCGGCGTCTCCTGCGAGCCCGACGTCAAAGCTCTGCCAAGGCCGGCCAGCCGGGCAGGTGCTGGAGATTGGGGATTTCTTAAGAGATGTGGGTTGCACACCTTCCAAATTTGCTGAAATGATTATTGGCTATTTTCCTTGTTGGTTTTAAGGAAATCGATCACTGGATATATTTGCATTTTTTCCAGGAGGCTGAAGCAAATGGAAGACAAACATGTCCGAAAGATGAGGTTGTCTTGTGGGTTTCCTCAAATGCTTAAATGCTTGGCTTCCTCTGGGTTTCTTTCCAAACTATCCGAAAAGGGTGCCATCGAGCTCAGCAAGACGAGCTCATGAAGCTTGTTGGTTGATTGCGGGTTCCTTTCAGTCAGGTGGGGCCTTTATCAACTGCACATGATACGGATACAGGTGTCTCAATTCCTGACCACCCCCGAAATTGGTTGTTTCCCTCAGTTTTGGTTTCAACCCCCCAAAAGAAAAGGTACCTGCAACAACAAAGACACACCTGTTTGTCTGCAGTAGATAAGTGGATATGGTTTGGGCATGACGTCCAGTTTATGGTCAACCTGGTACTCACCACGTTTTTCCCACAAATCCAGCAGATACCCATTTTGCATATCCATTTCCGGAGCCACATTTTGACCAAAGCCCTGTATACAAAAGGGCCTTCCCTGCGAACCGGCTCTGAATTCATGGTATTTTCTTTGCTTGGACTCCAGGCTGGTTGACTTGGCCTGCCATGTGTCAGGCAACGCTTATTTGGTGGGAACCGACTAGGCGAAGCCCGCCTTGGGAACACCTTGAACTGAATAGACATGCCTCTTCTGCATCATCTCCATCGGTTAAGGTGTGTGTTTGGGAAGTGCCCGATGCAGTCATTGCCCATAGCCATGCAGCCAACATGCCCCACGGAGGCATGGACCCAGGCAACATGCAAACATGGCGCAGAAGCCCCAGTCTAAGCATGGATCCAGCCAACCCAGACGGGCGCGCCATTCCCCTAGGGCGCGGGATAGCCGCGTCCCAAATCCCCTGGCTCAATGTTGGGTGGGGTAGCTTTCTGAATGTTTGCTGTGGTTACAGCGTTTGTCACTCTAATACCCGTCTAGCTGAAGCCTGCAGGCAGAAAGACTGGCACTTCATTCTGCTGTGTTCCGACGGCGCATCTCAGCTGCAATGGGAGCGGCTAAGTTGTAGAAGAATCCTTCCTTGCTCGGGAGACAGGGTTCCGTGGATTTTGAACCCCTCATGCGCTGGTTTTTCCACGGGGGAGGGGGGGGACCTGGTTGGTCAGAAACACTCGATCTCAAAGGGGCTAAGATCCTTGAACAGTCCATTGGTTCAAAGCACTTTGCTTGCGGCTCAGACTCCTTTTGGGATTCCCAGGTATCTCAGGGCTGCAAACAATCCTTGGGCGCGGTTCGACCCGTGGGGACCCGTGGGGTCAACCTGGGCCGCAGCTCAGGTCTGGGAGTTTCTGAGCCACCAGGAGGCGGTGGACCTGGTGGCGCCCTTCGGGCGCGCCAAGGCGCAGGAAGCCTCGGAGGCGCCAAGCCCTCCGATGACGCCGTGATACCGCGGGAGGTCACTTGGGTATGGCTCAAAATCAACCCACCAGACCGCAGTCAGTCCATGTTTCCATTTACCCAGGGCTCCATTTTGGGTACATATTTTTGACCCACAGCCATTTGTCTTTTTTTGGGGGGGCGACAGGTACGAAGTTCTTGGGACCCAGGAAGTGAGTAGGATTGCGTTTTGTTTTTCACGCAGCGGTTGGTGCTGAACAGCCTAAGCTATGGTCTCAAGGAAAGATGGGGATACACCATGATACATTCTGGTTTGTCCGTTGTTTTTCTTCGATCGTGGTACAGGCCTTGGCCAAAGAAGCCTGGAACCGCTGGATCAAGGAGGAAGGGCACCTCGGAGTCATGGGTCTACATCGGGGGTCCCGTTGTTTGCGCGATGTTTGCCTCCCGCCAGCATGGAGCCTAACAGGGGGTCCCTTAAAATGGAGAATTATTTGGCAGGACCCCCACCCCTGGCGGGTTCCATGTTCATTGGCGGTAACTTTGGATTTGAAACCTATTTTTGAACGGTACCCTTTTTTGAGGGCTTCGCCCCCCGCGTTTCTTCAGCACCGATGCTGTGCTGATGAAATCGGGCCTTCAAAAGTCATTGGGTCCTGCGGAATATTTATTTTTGGAGGGAAGTCCAGCGATCTCTGAACTGAATGCTGTAAGGACCGGGGTCAGAATAGCGGTTCAAACAAATCCAAAGTGGTTGGCCCAGTCTTTTCCGGGAATCTGTGAGTACAGCCCTGTCTACACGTTTGGGTGGCCTTAAGGCCGGAGGGATTCTGATCAAGCCATGGTTGAAACTAGTGATTGTGTTCTCTTTCGTTCTACCACTGCCGAATCAAATCACAAGGAGATGGACACATGACATTTTTTCTCAGTCAACTTGATTTTTAGGATTGGCCTGAGCAGTGGCTTGAAATAGGTGTTTCTTTTTTGGCCGCAGTTGGGCCCTCGCTGCTGAAGCAGCCTTTATTTGTTAGATGGATGGTATGGAGTCGGACATAGATGCACACCGTAGACGTTATTTGTTTCGCACCCCTGGCTCAATTGTTCGCGAGAGCCAGTGCGAAATGCTTGAGGAACGTGGTCGATGACATCACGGTGATTCTTTGCTGGCTCCGATGACTCCGGCCTCAGGCAATTATTTGCCTTCTACTTTTGTTTGTACCAGTAGCTGCTACAGCACAGGCCACGAACAAGCTTGCTGTGAAGATCGCAGGATGGCTTGCGCTCGGCCCCGTCTATGCACGCAAAACGCATAGGATGCCTTTTGGATAATTTTAATTTCAAGCCAGTTGGACCCTTCTGGCCCATGTTCAACGGACATTTGCATGAGACCCAAAGTACAGCTGTTGCAATTTTGAAGCGTCCAACTGGTTTTGACGTGTCGACTTCGGATGAAGAAACACCTATGAGGTTACCTTCAAGTTGCGCGGTGCCATGTTTTGACCCAACCTTTGGATCACTACTTTCCTCCAAGTGAGCCACAATCAAACCTGGGATAAGTGAAGCTTAGCAAGGGAGTCTCCCAACACTTCACGGCAGCCGTCCTGATTCTCAAGTGAATCCGAAGTTGATTTCAGTAGCCATTTGTCGGCAATTGCCGGCATTTGCGCTGCGCCTCAAGGACCGCACTGGAAGTTTCAGCGCAGCCTGAGGAAAAGTTGGCCCATGGCACCTGGTTATGAATTACTTTTAGATGCACATATGGACAATCACAAGCGCATATGCATTCTCCGTACTGCAATGTACCCTCCCAACATGGAATGGAACCCACCACGAGGTCCCAAAGGGGGCTCTTCAGGTTCCGTATTTAACATTGGTGTGTGTTCTTGCTATGGGTACCCCTGTTGAAGTGCTTACAAATGGGGAAACCACGAGGAAACGTAGTTTCGGGACAAGGCAAAGCAATAGCCTCGCTTTGTTCGAGGCCTTGCTCCAATCGGCATCGGCAGCTGAATGGAAGGAGCTCGGCGCCGAATGTTGGCCACGGAGAGAAACCAACTGGTCCATCAAGCGGTCAAAGACTGACTATCGCTTGGACCCGTGGACATGTTGAACCCTTAACAGGCTGATGTCCCATAATTAAACAGTAATCTTCGTGGTTTAATGGTTAATTTACCAACCAACCAGGGCTTCATACTGGCAGGTGTTTACATGGACTTGTTTTGGTTCAGCCTTTGAAGCAGGTCCACCTCTCAAGGGTCCCTGCGACATGGGCCAGTATCGGACCTGGCCAAACCGACCAGATTCCAAATTTTGTTTAGAGAGCCTAGAAACGCGCTCAATTACTCAAATCGCCGTTCGCGAGTCTGGGGTTGTTTGATTGCTGGCCGATCTAGTCGCTACCTAAACCGTGCAGGCCTGACAGGACGCTGTCATGCCACCCAATTGGCAGGACGATGGGGCAGAGATCAGACCAGCCGAGAGCTGAGGAGAGCCTCAGTCCATGGAAAAGCAGACGGTGGCCGACTAGCGGGGAGAACAATGGAAGCCTAGGCACTTTCATGTTGGAAGCTGTGCGGCGCTTTGCCTCGCTTGTCAATTGTTGGCCCTTGGAAGCTGAGAGCCTTGATACCCATTCTGAAGATTGTTTATGTAGGTTGGTAGCTGTTTGGCGCACCACAAGCTTCAGACATGATCTTCGAATGATGTGGCCCTGGGCAAAGGAATCCACCCTTTGTAGCAAAGGGCATTCCAATCAGGAAGGTTTGTGATTGCGTCTCAACAACATCGTAGGGGTCAATGGCCTGAATCAACTGCTAGAGGACATAGGTAGAGATTTGCAGGTCAGCATTGGTCTCTGTCAAGCCGCCTTTGTCTTGGTCCAGTGTTAGGCAGTGGCTGTGCCGTGCGCCTGCTAAACTGCTGAGGATGAGAAGCGCCAGCATCCGGAAACCAAGGAGTTGGACGCTCAGCCTCCAAACGGTGGGAATTATCAGGAGCCAACCACAAAGACAGTGATCCCCACTTTAGCACCACTCACATTTGTGCATCGAAATGTGCAACCACTTTTCTGGGGATCCCCTATGTTTCTTTGTCATGTGCTTGTCCACTTTCGTTCGAGCCAAGCTTGAGGGGCACCAAGCACTTTTGCGCAATGCGCCCGTAAAAGTCCTTGGCGGAAGCGGATGACCTCAGGAATTATATTTGATGGATTCCATTGTCAGATTTGAATATATGGAAGTGGTGAACGCCCCGCTTCAAGAGGGGAATCTCGGCACTCAGCGTCCCCAAGTGATGCGACTAGCTCAACACTCCCTTTCAGTTGAAGATAGGGAGATCATGGTCAGGGACCTCAGAAATTGGGAGTTTAGCTTCTGGCCCGCTTCAAGGTATTTTGACTACAGCCACGTGTGATTTCTCAGCCTCGCATGGCCGCATGCAACGGAGGACCCTGCCAGCCCCGTCACCGCACATCGTTCACTACGATTGAAATTTCCCACGAGGCGAAGCAACTGCTTCACATATGTTGTATATGCCTTGGTCTGCTTGATGCATTCAGAGTTTGGCTGCCCACGTGTGATCCATGTTTTGGCATAAAGGGTCCACCCGTATATCCAGTTTCGGTGAGGACAATTGTGTGCCTGGAAGCTTGGATTTGGTCGCTGCGTTTAGCAGGTCTTTAAGTGGTGCATGGACGCTTGGCTTCCTGTTTTCACCCAACAGCGACAGCCATCGGCCATCGGGTCCAATGTGCCGGAGGTTGCAGGATACCTTCCTCTTTGGGCTCAGCGAAAGCTTGTGAGTTTGTGTTGCATTGCCCAAGAAAAGGAGAGCTTCCCGTGGTTCATTTTGCTATGAACTTTAATGAGGAATACCTGCCAAACGGTTGGTGAACCTACATCCGACCATGTATTTCTGTTGTCCAGCAAAGGGTCCCATCTCCCACCAAAGAAAAAAACACATTGGTGCTTTTCCTTTGGGTATGTCAGAGCTCCCCTGCCAGTCGCGCATCGCACTCGGGCCGACGACGGGGCTTGACGCTGGAGTCAGGTCCCTCACCTTTGAGGAGCTCCGCGGCAAGTGCGACCAGCCAGCCGAGGAGTGGTGCGGCCTTCTGTCCTTTGTGTTTTGTCGTGTATGTTTTTTTTGTTCTCAAGGTCAACCAGAAGGTTGGTATTTCTAAATTTCTCATGCCCACCTTGATTTCAAAGGGAGAGGGAGAGAAATGTGTTGCAACCTTCCAAAGGCATTGAGTGCCGTTCCCTCAAGCCCCAGAGAACGCGGATCCCCACCAGGGAAGGTCCACCCAAGTTGATGTTGATCTGGCCTAGTTGGTTTTGATACGACATGTTTATGACTGGCAAGTCCAGTCTTGTGGGAATGAGGGCAGAGAATTGGTCGCAGGCATGCCTTCAAGTGGTTCCCCCCAAAAAATTGCACATCCGGCAGCCGTCAGTTAGTAAATTTGTAAATTTCGCCAATGGACCAGTCATATCATCAATCCTGAGATCATGGATTCAGAGCTTTCAGCGTCGGCAGGAGGTGGAGAAGATCTGGCGCAAGATGAAGCCCCAGTGGGTCGCCGCCAGCTCAGGTCGCGAGTCGCGAGCCTCCAGTCTTGCGCAGCCGGCGGCGAAGCGCAGGGGTTGAAGCAAATTGGCTCGGATTGTTTGAAATGGTTCGAGAAATGTGGGCGAAATGTGGAGCAATTGAGCAGGGGACAGGGCAGCATTGCGGGAATTCCAAGGTGCAGGAGCTGGAGTACATCAAGGTGGGATGCTGATCACCTCCCATCCGCTGGGGGCAAGTTGAACGCTGTTGAAAGCCCTTGGATTCTTGGACCATGATAGACAGGTAGGGCCAATCCCAGGAAACCAGCAGCTTTCCTTGCAAAACGGCAGGAGCAATCCAAGTTGACCCACCAATTGGGTTGACTGAGGTTTGTTTGTGGGGCCGGCCAGTTTTACTCTTACCAGCATGGCATGTGTAGCTTCAACTTGGGCCAAGAGCTTTCGGGCTTGGGTGAGCCGGGGTTCAGTCGCACATTCGGACACTGACTGGGGTGGGCTTCTCATGGGCGAGAGAAGTAGAACAAGTTATTCGAGCCGGACCATGGATCCGCTGACGCCATCAGAACAGATAGAGCAAGCTTACTTGGGGACAAGACCAGCAGCGCTGTTTCTCAATTCATTGTTTTCAGTTGGCGAGTGGGGCATGGGGTCATGAAACAGGCAGATTTCCTGTGTTTTGTACGCTGCAGGCGTCGGAGTGGAATGACCAAGGGGAGATCTCCAAGGAAGAGCTCCTTGGATAAAGCGGGTTCATGCTCGCTACCGGTTTTCGTTAGTCACATTCCAGGCGGACCGTCGGTTGGAGTTTTTGTTCCAATCGCGCGTACCTGACGGAAGCGTTTCCGAAGTCCATTGACCGAGCTTTGGCATCGGCGAGGCGCTCCTGGCTTGTGTGACTCGAAGTAGCCATCTTGGAATCTTGGTTGAGGCAAAGAAGATTAGTTTCAAGGGAATCTCCATTAGTGTGCTGTAACGGCAGGGCCCGTTCCCTGCCCGGCCATCAATACAGCATGTGTCTGTTGGCGTTTCGGCGCGGAAATCAAGTGGTGTTGTTTTGTTTGTGGGCTGCAGAAGGGGCTAGGGACTAAGATGTGACGTCAATGTCGGGAAGAGGTCACACAGGTGCCCTTTGAAGATGGCACTGGCCCTATAATCATTCCCCAGTGCCATCTATTGTTGAAGAGGGCACCGAAAGGGATAATGCCAATGTGTTGCCAGTGAGGCCGTTTGGCAGCTTGCTGTTTCCAGGGGGCACACTAGAAAGTTGTTGATACGTCCACATGTAAATGATGTCCACCAAAGTGTGACCATTTGCGGACCCGAGGCAACGCCAACATCCTGCGGATGAAGAGCCTCGGCCTTAGGCGCAGATCCAGATGCTGCACTAGGCTCTGGAACTCTAGGGGTTGATTCTCCATTATTTTCAACTATCATTCTTCTCACCAATCGGGCGTTCCTCCTGGCCCTGTAGAAAGAAAAATGATAAACACATGGGCACGTTTCCCTGCTACTGGTATTCAATGGTATCTATCGTTGATTTAGCTGGCTTCTGACGAAGTTTGTTTTCTTGCATCCGATGTTTGTTCAAACGCATGCAGTACCCTTCCAGCCATGCGGAAGCTGACAGAAAGGTCCCTTGCAAAGCACACGCCAAGTAAGGCTCCCGTTGATGCAGCGCCGAAGTGACAACCCCTGCGCGCCCCTGCGCAACTGCCTGAGGTTCTACACTTTCGAGCAGCTCAAAGCTAAAATCGGAGGCGGGGCGATCGAACCTCGGGTTTGAGTCTACTAGAGCTCACTTGGTGAAAGTCATGGCAGAAGGAAGCCGTTCAATCAGGAGAGCCTTCTTGCCAAGCCTTACGAGGACAAAATCCTTCCTGCATCGAGTGAACTTGTGCCTGGTCCTTGGGGATTTGGGTGTGAAGGTCCTGACAATTTGGCTGTGGGTCAAAACCAATGGCACCATTTTGGGGTAGGTGCACCACCCATTTTCGTCTAGTGGGGGTTGGGATGTGCACTGGGGGTATTCGGATTTTGACCCATGGTCATTTGAGGTCCCATCGTCATCCCCCAAATCGCCTTGTTTGTCCTGCGCAAGCTTTGCTCTCGCTCAGGTGAAGAGTCCCCCTCGGAAGCGCAGCTGGCCCATGCGCAGAAGTTCTGGAGGCCCAGCTGCATGATGAATCTGGAGCCCCGTTCCCCGTCCGAAAACCCTCACCGGCCAAGTGAACTGGAAAGAACCTCTTCCCTCCTTGCCTTCTTATGGCTCCTTCTGGGCAATACCTTCTTCAATGGCAGCAGCTGTTTTGTTGGTTTGGGCTTGAACACCTTGTCTTTTTAAGCAAAGTTTAGCAAGACAAATGGGATAGTGGCTTGGGTTTAAGCACAGTCTCAGCGAATACCGAGCAAAGAGCAAACCCCCTTTTCTCGCTTTGGGTGGTTTTGGGGAGCCCCAAAAATAGACATTAGTGGTCCGTGGTGGGACTCTGGGAAACCTTTAACGGAGGGGGCTTACTAGTCGTGCGCTGACATTATGGGTGTGGCTCAGAAACAAAAAAGGGGACTGCATGTTTTGTCCACGTTTCCTTTTGCCAGGGTTCCATTTCGGCATGGACCAGGATCAGCAATGTTTAGTTTTTGATCGGGGGCGAAAGCTCTTGTAGAGGCGCCTTTTCACAGGATGACTTGCTGATAGGCATTTGCCCAGTTCCCGGTTCCAGCCTTGGAGAAAGCACGGCCGGAGAGTTGATTTGCGGCGGTTTTTTCCAACTTTGAGGGAAGGCGGCTTTGAGGTTTCTCCTTTGGCGAGCCCCTTTGGGATGGTCTTTGGGGGATGCCTGAAGCTAACCAGCCGGTTTTGGAAGTCCTTAGCTCGTATTAGGACATATACCCATTGCATGTTTGTCTTTGCTCGGGTGAGGTCACGTCCGCATAAGCTGCCATCATTTGTTCTTTCAAACCACCTATTTGTAAAACATCCTTTTAGAGGAACTTCTCCTGTCATAGCAACAGAAGACTTTACTGAAATACCAAGCTTCTCCAGGGAGTTGCGCATGCAGCGGAAGCCGACTGGCGCAGGGAGAAGATGAAGCCTCGCTGGGTGCTTGAAGCTTTGGCGGCTGGTCCCGGTCCAAAGTACCTCGAGAGGCAAAAGGACTGCACACGCGCACGCTTCTGTGCTTGGCATTGCTCACTAGTTTGTTGGTGTATTGTTTGCAGTTTTTTTTTGTCTTTGCTTCTTTGGTGTGTTGGTTTAGTGACTTATGTTGTTGTTGCTTGGTCTATGTGCTGGTTGGTTGCTTGGTGTGGGTAGTAGTTGTGACTGCCTCTTGTTTGTTTCCTCGATTTCTTGATGTGTGTTGTGTGTTGCTTGCGTGGGTTGTTTACCTCGGTACTTGTTCTCATGCTTTCAGGCTTTTTGCGTTTATAGATTCTTGTTTATTTTCTTCATATGCAACTGTCTACTGCAGCGGTGTATCTCGCTTCCTTTGCGAGATCCAGTTAGGGGCACACACACACACACACCTGGCTATTTTTCGGGATCATATTTTTGCCTTCGCCCGAAGGGACTATCATCATGGCAGAGCCCCCGTTTGTTACAACCCCATTTAGGTCGCCCAGATTGTCTTCCTCCCCGTTGCATTTCTCTGGAGCTTTTTGTTTTCCCCTTCAGGAAGCTGACTAAGGGGCAGTATGCCCAAAACAAACCTGGCCCATGCCAGGACCACCCAACGACCGTTGTTCTCAATTTTGTGAAAGTGCCGCCAATTTGAAGGCACTTGTGAACAAATGCAATCGGCAGCACTTCAGGTCTATCAACCACCAGTTTGGAGACCATTCTCAATCCATTCATGATGATCATGATAAAATATCCTTCCTCCACTAGCACGGCACGTTCTCCAAGAGGAGAACGATTTTTGTAGGCACTGCTTTTGGGAGGAAGGCAACACCATTGAACAGAGATTCATCATGATGCTTATTTTAAGGCGAGCTCACTTGGGGGCAAACTGAGCGTTCCATGATGTGGGTCCTCTACTTGGGGATCCCTTGTTGTTTTTTTGTGTGAAGGAATATTGTAGAATTTGCAGATCAAGTGAAGGAGATTTGTTTCCAAGGATGGCTGTGAGGGCCTATTCATCACGCGCAAGGAGCGCCAAGAGCAGCCAAAGTCTCCGAAGAGCAACTGGAAAGACGACGGCGGGCCCATCAAGCCTAGCCCACAGCCGCAGAGCCTCGCTACACTGCAACATGTGCTGACTATGACAGCTGGGAGATGTGGCTTCGTGTTGACGAAGACTTGGCCTTTCATGGTGGCCCCGCCAATGGTTTGTGGGTCGGCGTCTGTTTTTCCTGATCATGGCTTATGGATTGCAAGTGGGTCAGTCACGCCCCGCAGCATTGCCAAGAATGGCTAGGTTCAATGTGCCTGGGCAATATAGCATTCGAAGTGCTGAAGACCCCAAAATGAGGTGGCTGCGACGTAGTCTCAAGACTGAGTCAGGACCAAATTCCCTCAGAAGGATTTCTGCAGGTCTTCAAGTCAATAGACGTTTCATTGCATCGGTCCCTGCAAGCAGAGGACAACCCACCCATTTGTCAGCCGTTCCTGAAGAGCCTGACAACATTGGAAACAGACAAGCTTTCTAGCCTGAAACGCTTGCCTGTCCACATTCATATTATAGGATTACGCGGCACAGTGGAATCCAACATGACTCGACGCAATGTTTCGATGTTTCACCACCCAGGACAGTGCACGGTGCGTTGTTTGACCCGCTTCCCCAGGGCTCCTTGAACCAGCATTTCCTTCCCGGAATTTGAGGTCAGACAATGCCCCGCAAGGCCCGACGAGACTCGCAGACACCCGGAGCTCAAGGAGTTACGAGCCCAGCGGATGGAAGGAGACGGCGCAACTCCCTTTATGTGGGTAAGAAAAGGGGATGACTAAACCAGCATGGGGGAATGTGTGGGTACTTTCACCCCACTGGAATTCTTAAGCAATGCGGTCTTTCCTTGATGAAAGTAGTATTGATTATTTGTTGTCGTGGTGTCCCACTACGGAGTACGGATTAGGATGTACGGGGATGAGGAATTCCATACATTTTGAACAACCCTGCTTGATGCGCAATGGATTTCCCCTTGGAGTTTTTATCGGCGGAATTCGTATTCCGCCTCAAATTGGCATGGAACCCGAAAAGGGTCCTTTCCGCACAGGGAGATTCTGAGATTCTGAACATATCCTGGATGAGTTGTTGGTCGTGCACTGTTTTGGGAGTTGCCGTCTTTGCTGTGTTAGATGTGGCTAGAAGTTGCAGATTCCAGCCCACTCCATCGGTGCGGTATCGCACTGGAATGTCTCACTTTCACCTAGCAAACAGGAGCATCCCCAACCCCTTTCCATACCGGCCTTTTTGAAACTTTGGTAGTTGGATGGGGGGGGTATGACTTCTAGTTTGTGGTGGGGATGAATGGTTGGAGGCAAGGCTGTCCTCAAGACCCACTTATAGGACTTCTTGGCCAGGTTTCAATGGTTGCGAAAGACACCCCTCAACTTGATGAGCACAAGGGGTCCCTGCAAAAGGAGGCTACACAAACAGCATGATTATCATATCATGTCATGCCAATCTGTAAGACCCTGGCTCGCATTGGACATTTGATAATAAGTGAGCTAGACATCATGGGACAAAGCACCTGTAAAAGGCAAGCTCCTTGCATGTTGGCAGGCAATCGGGAAGGGCTATCGAACTGTGGCTAAGCTTCTCATGCAGAGTCCTCATATTTCCCTAGATTTCCCTAGATTTCCCTTTTAAAGGATCAGAAATGGCAGCTTCACAGCCAGCCGCAGGTTTGTGAGTGCATGCAAGGGGCAAGAGCCACCATGGATGAGAAATATGACGCTTGTTCTGAGCGTTTGAGGTACTTCAGCTATGCCGAGCTGCTGGAGCGCTTCAAAGACCAGCTTGAGGCGTCGCTCGAGCTCGCTCTCGCGGGACCTGTTGATCCAGTTCTTTCAAGGGTGTCCCGTGTAAGATGGAATTATTTGAAGGAAGCGCCCCCCTATGCATGATGTTATTAGTACAACCCCAGTCTGAAGAATGTCCAGGCAAAATTCCTTATATTCCCCCAATATTCCCCCCTTTGTGGTCTAAGAAGCCCTTTGGCGGCCGAATCAAGCTCTTTGGGCTGATGACTGAAGGGGGCATACTGGGAAAGTGGTTTGGAAATGTTTGGAACAACGGGTGAGTTCACAGCCGCATTGCTTTGAGGTCGCTTTTGTAGATCAAACCCCGTTGGAATTGGTTGAACGGGAACCGCTAAAAGCAGCCCAACTGGTGTCTGCCGTTCTTTTTCAGCCGCTTGCTTTTCCTAAAGGGTGTTGTATGAACCCCCTTCAACATGCAGTCTTGTGTCTCGTTGTCTTGGGGTTAGACACAATCTTTCTTGAAGTCCAGGCGGATTGTCAAAGAAGAAGGCAGCGCTATGAGGGGAGGGGAGTGGGACCCCTGCCATTAATCCACCAAGTTGAGTGCTCGGTCAACAGGATTTGTTTGCGGGCGCCCTGGCAAGTCCCGCAGCCAAGCACCAAGCAAAAGCAAGGATGGCTGAGCAGTGGCTTCCAAGCCGCAGGGCCTGTCCTCGGCCGCCCTTGCAGAGGGTTTGATAGAAACTGAGAAGGGCACGTTCTGAGGTAGCTTGCTTTCACAGCCCCTGCTAGAGAGCACCCTCCACAGCCCCATTCTAATTGTTCAAGTCCTACTCGTACACGGGTCCCATACTCTCTTTGTCGTTTAAGCATCCCCTCTTGGCCCGTGTTAGTTTGGCTTGGTGGGGGTGATGTTTTAAGGCGTCAAATCGGGAACCCTGCACTGGGGCGTAGACGTAGATGGCCCTCCAGTTTCTCTGATTTGCAACGCAGGCAAAGGACATCGAGCAGATGTGGCGAGCGCAGAGCTCAGATCTCGCTGCCCGACCTGCCGAAGGGTGGCTTTTGGGTATGTCATTGTTGGAGTTGGGACTCTGTTGCTGGGGAGTTCGCAGAGCCGCAGGGAATGGACTGACGGGCCTCGGTGATCATGCATCGCTTATATAGCTGATATTCTGGCGTTCAAGAGCCTTTCTTTTCTTGCCATGCCAATGGTTAGGTAACCAGTTTAGATTGCTGGCTTCGGGATTAGAACAGCTGGCTTTGGTAGAGGGTAATTAAATGGGACACCTTTCCTTAACCACCAAAGCACCGGGCTCCAAGCCACCAAGTGGAGGGAGCACATGGAATGCCAAAGAACTTGTAGCTTGGCAGCCTGCCAGCACCACTGCGCACCAGTGTGGCGTGGGTTGTGGCAGCATGTGTCCCATGTTGACAAATCAAACTCCGACATACATCGACATGATTGGTTGGGAATCTGGAGTAGACAAGTTCAAATAAGCAGTGCTCCAGCCGTTCGCACCCGAGAAGTATTTGGTACGAGCTCAGGACAGGAGCTTTCTGGTCTTTGACAATCACGTGCCACATGATCGGCTCTGCAGCTATGGCTCGCCTCGATTTTGAATCATGCATTAGTTGATTCCACTTCACCTTTCAAGGGTTCCTCTTGACCGGCAAAATTGGCCATTGAGCAGAACAATCACTGCACCCTTGACCCTGCCTGGTCGCACGATACATATCTAAAGCCTCAACCGTAAACCAGCATGCAGGAAAAGATGAAGCCCCGCTGGGTGGTCTATGCGGAGGCGCGTTGCGTGACACACCTTTCACGTCAGTGCTCGGAACCTGGTTGATTGTACTGTGTTCCGGGTGTCTGCTTTGAGTGGGCATCGAATCCGTAGCTTTTGTAGGTGACACCTCCCTCAAGGAAGGATGGGTCTAATGCGGGGTTCCCGGAGCCTCTCAGTGGTGCACACTCCACAAACTCCATCCAACTCATGATCAGGGTAGAGTCCACGAACGTTTGTTTTAGACTGTGCCACTGTCTTGCTTCAATCCTGTTTTGACTAACGCGCAACGCCGGGTGAATACTACGCTCTTGCTAGGAAGGCGTGAGCAACGGCCAGAGCAACCGGCGGCCACGGCGGAGGAGCCATGAGCGAGTCATGGAAAGGCGAAGGATCATAGGCGTCCTTTTTTGGTGGTTTTGGCTGGGCATGGTTTAGGTTGGTTTGATTCTATTGACAAGGGCCATTTGTTTTCCCAAAAAGGACACCTACGCGAAGGATGCTGACAGTTCACAGTTGCGTTCCTAGAGAAGACAAGCGCCACATGCAGTCGCGGAAGGTTTGCGGAAGTCTCATGGAAGGTTTGCTTGCCTCGGAAGCGCGCGGTGTCGTGTTTGCTTTAACGACTCACATGGCGGGGTGGCTTTAGAGGAAATGATTCGCCTCTAACAAGGGAAGCGCACTGGGAGGTGTGGGTCGCCGGACTCATCAGAACATGAAGATAGGTGGTTGGACTGGAAGAGTAGCTAGATCGACGTTTGTTTTAAAATTCGAGGGTTCTCACGCAATTGGGGAGCAGTACGCCAGCAAGCACGAGCTTGTAGTGTCGCAGTGGTTCATTCAGCAATGAATTGAAGACGTTGAGTTGGCAAACAGCGCGGAAGAGGCGCCAGCGAGCATTTCAGAAATCGCCTGATTCATTTTCGAGCTTTTTCGTTGTCTTCCTCACCGTAGCGGCCGATTTCGCTCAGGGTGGTTTGCACCCAAAACAATAACTTGTCTTTGCTTGTTGGGACTTTGACCTGTCGGGAAACGGCTGAGGGGCACTCGTAGAGGGATTCTGCGCTGGACAGGCGGACGGCTAGGCGACCTCACCCTGAACAGCCGCCTTTCTTGCTAGCAGCTGACTCTTGCAGGTGACTTCATGGTTGTAACATACCCCGGATCCCTATTTGAGCCGCTTGGGCCCTGGCAACCACAGTCCGGGCGAAGCTTTCTCTCGAGGAGCCCCAGCCGGCGCAGAAGAGGCACGCCGCTTTTGCACCCTGAAAGAAGGGCGTGTTCCCTTCAGGTTCCCCTTGAAAGTCAACAGATACTTAAACCTCGCGGACCATAGAGATGTTCCCCACCAAAAGTGTGAAGACTCCTCTTGCGGGGCATTCCCTTTCTAACTTAGTAGCAATGGGTCATGTTTCCTTTCGGTATGCAGCTGCTCTCCAGGGGCAAATCTGGCACTGCAGTTGTAAGGGACCGGCCCCGATAAATGACCCTTCATGCCCGTGGATCTCTAACACAGGTGACCAGCTGTGTCCTCTTCGCCTGTTTGTTTTGGAAGGCTTCCCTTAGTTGGCTATGGAAAGTTGAAGTGGGCATGCATGTTCCCATGTATGCAAGTGGAATTGTGTATGGAGAGGGATGTGGTTTGTCCGAAAATTCGGAGCTTGCCAATGGAACGTGGGACTCCAAGCGACGTAGATAGTAGGACCTTCCTTTCGAATGTATGAATCCTTGGAAGGCGGCTCCAGAGAAGGGCTCCCCAGTGTCCATTGACAACCGAAGGCTGTTTCCACACACAGGCCAAGGGACAAACCTTGGCAGATTCAGATCTTTGTTGTGACTCTAATTGTCCAGCCTTTGGTGCCATGTGGGGGTCAGTCACAGGAGTTCCTGTAAGGTAGACGCAAGCAGGCGCTTGTAAATGGCTGCCTGGGCGTGCTTACAAACATTGCGCTTAGCCTGGCTTTTCCATGTTGTTATCCGATTTCGCATTACGAATGGCAACACAAAGACGGAGAGGGAGGGAGAGAAGAACAAACATCAAAGCTGGTAAAACAACCTGTTGCGTACCTTACTTGATGCCTCACATTGCTGTAGGGCAAGTTCTTGGCTGAGTTTCGGCTTAAGCCCGTTGACGGCATCACACGCCAAGTCAGGAATTGCAGAGATGCACCAAGCCCTGCACACAGCACAGCCCAGCCAGAACCAAGAGAGTGAATTTAGAAGTGAATTCACACCAGGCCTCCAAGTGAGTAAGAATGTATGGCTTGGCTTGCCCAACATTCAGGCAACCAGGGTCAGAGGCGAGGCTAGGCCGCTCAGGCCACATGGCTTTTACAACACACCCAACGAACACAGCACATGGTTGAGGTTTCCAGGCGCAAGCCGAGCAGCGAGTCAAGATAGAGCCCAACTCAGCGAATTTGGCCAAGTCGTTTGCTGTGCGCAATAAGCTCTGCGCTGTGAGCGACGGCTTGGACAGGCAAAGGCGGTGAGCCGCGCTTATGCCGGGCTTGTGTCAAACTGGGTGGCGACCCGTTCGGGCGTCACGCTTATTAAGACATGTCCATTTGGAAGTCCAGGATGGGCGTTCTTTTCTTTTGGGACCAGTGAAGCAACTGAAGTGGGTGAGCCATGGGGGTTTGAGGTGCAGCACAACATGTGCAGAGTGACATGTTAGCGTTTGTGCACAGCAGAGTGTGTGTACATGTCCTGCAGCGCTGGTCCAGGTACATTGAAGGAAAATTCTTGTACCCACCCTCCCCACCCTTGTGAAGTTAATTTCCCTCTGCTACTAAGCAGGGTCTCTTCGAGGTAGGGTCCCTTGCGGGTGGGCTAAAGGCAGTCCCACCGCTTGGTCCGCATCACGGAGTGGACACCGGAATGATGCCAACCACGAGGGAAGAAAGTGAAGTCCGAGTTTTTGCTTCTTCCGAACATTAGCGGCGCATGTCATGGTTTGGAGTGCCGAAGATCCAGCCCATGCATGGGGAAAGATTTGGACCCAGCCTTTTAAAATCAAGTATGCACTTGTATTTGCCCAGGCGCGCCTGTGCACCTAAACGTTTTTCACCAAATCTCTTGAGCAGATGCCATGCCTTGCTTCCCAATTGTGCATGGCCGTGTGGGAATTTGTTGGGCAAACGCTGATTCCCTGATTTTGCCCGCCCCGGTGTTGGGCTGGATTGCGGGCCAGCATGCAGCAGCATGTTTAACTGGTACCACGGTACCACATGCTTGCTTGATTGCGGTTCACGTGTTTCCTGGACAGTTGCCAAGGTGGATTCTGGCAGAGTTAAATGAAAGTGAACACCACGGGACAACAACAATCCTATCTGTTTTCGTAGTGTCCCACTCATGTTTTTTCCACGCGCATGGTTGTACATGTGCAGTGGTTTTACATGGCCACTTTTTGTGAGCACTTTGGTCACAGACAGCTGCAGATTTCCATAGAACCCTACGGGGTCCCTTCCAGAATGCATTGGGGCGGCGAAAACCTTCTTGTACAACAAAGTGGGTTTTGCTTCCTGTTTTTGGAATCTCGTTCTGGACAACCTAGCCTTCAGGTTCCGTGTCAATTTGTGGGGGGTGGGGGATGTTTGAGGGTCCTGGAAAACTTTTTTTTGTTTGCCCTTTGGTAAGTTCCATGTTCCACTGGGTGACTTGCCACAGGTCGCCATGGAGGACGAGGTTGTGAGGGACCTTAAAAAGCAGCTGCAGCGCCAAGGCTCGAGTCAGGCCCGGATCGAAGCCGGCGCTTGGGCCCTAGCGCTTTGCCCCAAGAAAAAGAAAAGAGTTTGCCAATTTGCAGACGTGGAGTCTGGTTTTCTCGGCATATTTTCTCAACTTCATAGTCCAGGCTCAAAGAGTTAAGCAAAGACTGGCCAGTCACAGCCAGGAAATGGATGGCAATTGTGCCACAAGACGAGCAACTGAGCCAATTTGCGGCCTTTGAGCAAGCAGTTCATTGTTCTAGGGAGATATCCAAATCAGATACATGGGCCTTTTCCCGCCAAGCTACCACTTCTGTTTTTCTTCGCGTCTTGCGGCCGGCGAAGACGTTGCCAGGCGCGCAGCTTCCTCCATGCCTGCGAGGAAAACAAGGTGATGCCCCGCGTGAGCAGTCACCCGCTCTTGCAGGGCCCGCCCATGCATCCGGACACGGGGAAGGGGGGAGGTGAGGCTGCGGAGAACTGTGCTGCCTCCCACCGAAAAGTTGCAAACGCCAAACATGCCAATTTTTTGCTCGCCGTCCCTTGTAGGCTCAACCCTCCGATGTTTCCGTGGATTTCTTTTCAGGGCAGCCAAGTTGCTTCCAGGCCCGAGTTTACTACTCAAGAGGGCCAGCTCCTTCCAGGCAGTTGTTTCTTTTGGTGAGGTCCTTTGAGCTTCTGGATCAACCCTAGGGGCCTTCATTGCCAACTGCTTGCCCAGTGCCTATTTTCCGCTTCCTCCTAAAGTCGGCCAAGAGGAAGGCTGCCCTTTTCTCCCGTGGCCAGGACATCGGGCGCGCCAGCGACCTGGCGCAGCCGGGGGGCTTCCGGCGACACCACGTGGGGAAGAGCGGGAGGGCGGAAACGCTGCCGCTCCGCTGAAAAGATTTGTTTGGTGTGCGCGTGTTGTTCTTTTTTTTTGTGCGTTCAAGATTTGAATTGGAGAGGCGGAGCTGCGCTTTTGGTTGCTTCAAGTATGAAAATTGTTTGGGAGAGCATGTTTTGGGTTGAGGCTACCTTGTTGGGGTTATTTGACACCAAAGGAGTCGGCGATGTTTGGCGCCAGTTTGCTTTTCGCCGAAATATGTCGCAAGGGAGGCCATGGCGCTTGATTGGAGCCAAAGTATGTTGGTACCTGTGTCGTTTTCCTCGCACTTGTTTTTGGTGCTTAAGGGATCCGAGGCATGTCAGGATCTGCTTGCAACTTGTGAGGGGTCGGGCTCAGCGTACCCCTTTGTGCGGCTGTTTTGGTACACAAGGCTTTGGGAACCGCACGCTTCCACTTTGGTTTGGGACGCCTTGTTTGGGCCGATTTTGAAGTGAACACGAAGTAAGGAATGCCATCCAGTGTTGAGTTGCCCCCCGTTGGAGCAACCCCACAAAAAGCGCAGTTTTAGCAACCCCTCTACATCCATCGTTTATGGTGCAGTCGCACACCTGATGCGCAAGACTCGTTTGAGCGCGCATTTCAGCTTGCCTGCAGGGTCGGCGTGACTGATAAATGGCACTTTGCCCACAGAACGTCTCGGAGAGTCTCGGACCTTTGTGTCCAAAGACCATGCCGTGCATTATAAACGAACCGTTTTTGGAAGTGTTTCTTGTCTTCACAAACCCAAGTGAGTCTTCGCATTTTGGGGCACGAGGCCGCTTGGTGTGTTCCTTTGCGCAGGTTGAACCGGCTGCTAGACCCGCGGTTACAGCTCTACTTCCGTCAGGGCGTGCTTCCTCGCACGTCCGACGACGTGGGAGGCTCTTCCAACTTCAACACGGTGCTGCTGATCCTGACGCTCGGACCAAAATGGCTGTGGGTCCAAACCCATGGTACCATTGTGGGGTAGGTGCACCACCATTAGTAGTCTCTCTATTTTAGTAGGGATTGGGATGTTTGCTGTGGGTACAGCAAACCGTCCAAATTTCCGTTCGACCGAAATTGCCCTGGTGTTTTTGCGGAACGTTTGCATTGAGCTCGCTAGTCCACTGGCCGACGCCCTTTCGCCAAGGAACAAAGACAGCAAAAGCCCGACGCGGAAAAACATGGCAAGGCCACAATTGAGACTGAGCCAATGTTTCCCGTACGTGCAAGACTGACTACTTGAGCACAAAGAGAAAGCAACACGTTGATATTTGTTGATCAAATCCTTTGAGACCCATGGAGATTCCGTGGTAAGGACAAGTTGTTAGATGTTTTCGGACAAATCAGCTGACACCCGACATCCATGGAGAAGTCATCGAGCTGGCCCGGCGCGGCGGTTGGTTTGCCTTTTCCAACTAAAATTCAGTGCCTTTGTTGCCCCCCTTCCCACCCTAAAAACAATGGTGTTGAATCAAGCTGAACAGGTTCCCCTCAAAGCAACACCCACATCTTCTTCTTGCTTTGGGGGCTCCTCTTTGGGTGACTTTCACCGGATCACACAAATGACAGGCATTTTGGGAGCCGACTTTCATGAAGCCACTAAAGAATGTGCATGTTCCTCTTTTGCTGTAGCTTCCCTTGACACGCTGAACAGGTTACCAACAAAACATGGAACCCAATCTAA